TTAAAAAACTTGAATATAAATATTGCAAAATTTTTAAAACAATTTTTATAGATTTATTTTAATTTCATCATATAGCGTATGATGGACTTAGGTATTATGTAATTTTTCATTATAATTAGAATATAATTAATTTTTAATTAACGATCAATTAATTGTTGAATGTTTGTTTTATATATCAAGGTAATGAAGTGAAACTGCTAATAACCCCTGTTCTACTTTAGCTTAGATATTTTTAGCAATGGTTAAAGTGTATGTTTATGTCGATTTTGATAAGTTATTGTTGTTAAGATTGGTGGAAATTATTTATTAGATACTAATAAAAGAAAATATTGTATGCAATCATACATTACAAAGTTATTTTGACGTCGTGAAATAAGAAAAAGGATGGAAAAAAAATATATCGAAAAACCGTGGTTATTAAAAAAGAACAAAAGGTTATTCGTTATGATTCAACACGTATTCCGAATTGTGCTTGACCTTTAGTCTAAAATTGTATTGCTTTATTTTAGTATGAAGTGTGCGGTTGTGTTTGTTTACTTCGATTATGATTAGTAAATTTGAACGAAAGATTCGTTCTCTTCCACAAATTTTAATACCTGTGATGATATGATTTTTTAAAATGTCAAGGAATGGTGCAACATTGGGCAATTGCACGATTCATTTTTTACATTTTCATTTAAATTATTGAAACGGTGCCGTTAATAATTTTATTCGTTGATCATTCCTTTAATTTTTCGAAACGAATTTTTCATTAAAAGATGTAACGATATTGTAATTTTAAAAATATTCCATTTTATTTAACATTGATTTTGAAGATAGTAAAGTGGATAAATTATGTTATTTTATAGTTTTCTACTATTTGATAATAGTAAAAATTTTAAATATTTTAATTCCAACATTACATTCGTCTAACTTATTCTTTTGTAACATGTAATTAACTACTATACTTTATTTCTTCTATAACTTATATTCTAAGAAATATGCTAGATCTTTTGTTTAATGACTTAACAGAATAAAGAAATGAATATTATTTTATTCAATGATGACTTCGGCACATTACCTCAAAAATATAGTAATCAAAAGTGAATATGTCATTACAGTAATATTTTTTGCTAATATAAGTATTAATTTTATTTTACATTATATAAACTTTTATTCAAAAGTACATTACACTCTTTATCGTAGACTAAACATGAAATAAAATGTATAATTACAATATGTGTATGGGTGTTTATCAAATTAATTTTAATTTAATTCTTGAAAAGGTTGTATAATTTTTGGATATGGGATTTGCAATATATATATATATATATTTTGTGGAGACTTCCTTTCAATATTACCCGTATTACAAATATTAAATTTTAAGAAATTTACAATTTTATATTATGTAAAAAAATTGTGATTATAAACAATATATATTATATATTTTTGTTTCATTCGAATTGTGTCGAATTCAAATAAATAGTAATTAAAAAGTATTATTAAAAATTAATTATAAATAAATATTATAGAGAAATTCATTATTAACAATTTAGTTTACTTTTTTAATAATTCTTTCATTCCTTAGTTCGTGATTATTAAATTTCTATAATTTGAAATTTTATTTGTAATGCAGGTGTCGGTATTATACTAAGTTTATGTCTGCATATTAATTGTATTTCAGTAGGTGGGATTTTGGAATATATAATACAGTATTACGTCCAAATGTTTTTTGTTATTTAAATTTTTGATTACACATAAAATTTTAATTAATTAATTTATGACTATATTTATTTCTTTTAATATTTTTTTCTTTCAAAAATTTTGAATTTGAGAGTAGTATTTCAATTTTATCAAATGGATACTATACATTAAATATTTATAAATATAATAAATATTTATAAACAGAAATTCTTCTACTGATTAATATATGTTTATTAAAGTTTTGCAGTAAGGAATATTGTATTTATATTAAGTAAATATATAAAAATTATTAATTTGATAAATAGATAATAATGAGAGATAATAATAATTTATATAATAATAATAATTTATAAAAAAAAAACAGATAATAATCATTTATATAATCCAACAGTTTTAAAAATTAACGGATTTTCCTATAATACGCATGAAAATATTAATTCATAACATAAAATTTTAGAAATGAATTGATAAGACTATCTAGTTCCCAATATTTTCTTTTTTCTTTTCTACAATAGAATATTTGATTTCAATTTTTAATATGAAATTAAAATCGCATTTAAGTCTTATTAGATAATTTAGTATTTCTTGTAATTCTAAAACAAATGAAACGAAAACTGACTTGTCAAATTATTGAGATAAACTTTTTCAAATTTGAAATGTGAATACTTACTATATTAGAAATTGTATGAAAATGGAAATGTGAATATTATATTAAAATAATGTTTAATATAATATATTGAAAATTTATTGTTTTTGTCGATATTGTCAATATGTCAGTATTGTAAATATCAATTGTATTTTAGTTCTATCTGGCTCATTAATTTATATTTTACTAATATATGTTTACTAATTTTTTTTAATATGTATATAGACAAATACAATTATTCTGTTAAATAAACGAAAAAATTTGGATTCATAATCAATACATTATTTATAAAAGACTTTAAATAAATAGATAAAAAGGAACAACAACTTTATGTAATATATCAAACATATTTAATGCACTTGTATGTCTTGGATACGTATAGATAATATTTATTTTTCTTTATTGATTAATTATCGAATAGGATTTGAAACTTTTTATAATGGAAACCAAATCTAGCTTTAGAAGCGAATCTAGCTTTAGAAACTAACATTTAGAAAAGTGCTTCTTGTTTAAAATATTGAAAATTCACAATTCACATTCATGTTTAAAATATTGGTATTTATTTCCATTCATTTATAGAATATTATATATATATATATTTTTTATTAAAAATTTATCAATTTTGAACTCATTACTTAGATATTATTTATTATTATATATATATATAATATATAATATATAATATATAATATATAATATATAATATATAATATATATATAATATATAATATATATATATATATATATAATAATAAATAATATCTAAGTAATGAGTTCAAAATTGATAAATTTTTAATAAAAAATGCTAGTGTTAGTATTGGATATCATAAAATATCATAAAAAACATTTTTCAAATTTGATTATACAAAATATGAAAAAATAAAAATTGTTTACGAATTTTAATGATGAAATAGCTATAAGCATGTACTTTGAAATCTAAATTAATGTGTAAATAGCATAGGTTTGTTGAAAATCGTGTAAAATTTTATAAAATATTGTGTATTATTATAAAGAAATTTTAGTTTACTTACCATTTATTTATATTTATATATAGAATATTTCAATTTCAATTTCAATTTTGATTAAGTTTTTAATTTAATTCATTAATACTCGATTTTTCTTCTTTCCAAAGTATTGTTGAATGTAATTTATATATGATGAATAATATTTTATGTCATTTTCTATTAAATATAGATTTTTAAGTATCTTTAATATCATTCAAATTTTTAGATCAATATTATAAGCAAATAATTTTTATAATAATACATTTTTAATGATACAAAAAATATATATATATAATATTAAATACTGACAATAAACCCACCATTTTAAAATATGCTGTATGAATTAATGAAATGTATGAATATTATGCAATAAATAAAATGTAAATATGACTTTTGTCGTAAAAATAAAATAATACGAAAATTTAATAATATGGACATATATTATTTATACAAAGTTACTTAAGAATAAAAAATGAAAACAATGAAAGATTACAATACTATGAATTGAAGCAGTATTTAAGTATGAAATTGCGAAGTTAAGCATCATAAGAGAATATTAATATATTTTTCTTTAAGTGCGAATTAGTAGATAAGCTCATTAAATGTAAATAAATTAATAATGTAATATATTGATAATTAAAAAAAGCTTGAAATCTCTCAATATTATAATCAATAATGTTTTTTGATCATGAAAAAACTAATCATTTTTAAAGAACTTTTATCATATTAGAATTAAAATAGAATTAAAATAAAATTAAAATATATAAATGTATATAGTAATGCAAAGTGAACTGTATAAGGAATTTTTTGTAGTTAATATTCAATTTAAAATATTAATACTTAATTAAAAAATAATCGGTAATTAATTTTTTTTACTTTCATTGACGATGTAATTTGATAAATTTTCCTTTAAAAAAAGTTTAGATGATATAATCTGTTTACCTTGCTTAGATCAGAAAGTACTAAGTTGTTATTAATCACATTATGTTGCCTAATTAATGAAATAGCGTATGATTATATTCAATGAAATAGATGATTCAATCTATTAATAAAAACTTTATTTGATTACGTAAATATAATTATTTAATCAAAATAACCCGATAATAATTTCTTAGTCTATTTTCTAATTATTATATATTCCTTTATATATATATTTTAAATATGCCATATTATATGTCATAAATAAGAAAATTATCTTCTATAAAATATTAGTTTAATAAATTTAGATGAGGGAAAATTGGTAATGAACCGATTTGAGTCATGCACAATTGATTTTTATTGGCTTTGAATGTGAAATTAAAAAATTTTAAATATGATATTCATATTATATATCTGAATATATAAGATTACATATTAAATAACTAATGGGGTTTCATTGTGTTCCAAAAATATGTTTGTATTTTTATAGGATTTAATCTAACATTAAAGATTATAATTAAAATATTTAATTACAAATAAAAATACTATATTCAAATTATTTTTACGCATATAATATAAATAATATAAAAATATAATGTGAATTTGAACTAATTTGAAAGTCATTAAATTGAAATTTGTTTGGTAAATGCCTTAAATCAACGCTTCTTTTTCTGGCTTAAATATATTAAATTAAAAATATGATAAATAAATTAATGAAATTTAAATGTCTTTTTTCAGTAACTCAATGCGTTTTTCATGAATTTCCTGGTGCAACCGATTAAGTAAGTTTATTTAGAATTTTTTTTTCAATTTAAATTTTCTTAAAAGTTCTATTATATAATAATAATAAAACCATATTTAAGGTAAAAATTTTTAACTCATATCTTTAATGCAGAAAATTTAAAGAATTTTGTATACTTATATAATAATTTATTTTCTGTAAATTATTGTTACAGGATATAAATTTTATAATAGTTGGCACAAGAAACTCAAATAAGTAAAATTCAGGTCTTTTATGAACACTTCCATACAAAATAAAAATATTTTATAACGTACTATGTTTGTTTGAATGAGAACTTGTTAAGATTGTATATACTTTGATACATATGGAATATTTTGGTTTTACATGTTTTTTTGTTTATCTAAATATGTAAATAAATATTTAATTACTATATACTACAAACTAATATTCACTAAATTTTTTCTTTTTGATTTAATAATAAAATGATGTGTAAATATAAAATTGGAATGTTTTATTCACTTTATTCAACGTTTACTACGGGCTATATTTCTTTACATATTTGTAATAGAAAAATGATGATTTTTTGCAAATCGTATATATTTTATTTATTACATTTAATGGATTATATATTTTAATACAAAATTGAAATGTATTTTATCATTGAAATAATTTTATGAAATAATAAATTAATTAAATGTATTTGTATTTAAAAGTAAAATTCAGAAAATCTTTATATGAAAAATAATTTTTTAATATTTAGAAACTGGTATTAAAAAATTTTCAAACGTGACAACTGTTATCAAAATGGAAGTTAATATAAACATTTGAAGAAATGGCACGTAAGACTATTTAGATCGATAAATCATAATTGAATTCAAAATCTTTCAATGACAATGTAGTAACATGAAATATATTCAAATTGCTCATGTCGTTCCATATAACATATGTGTTTAAATAATAATATTGAAATTCTAAGAAAAATCAAATTTTGCAAGCCCTTTATATGTTCATTTATTTTAATAACAAAATTATGTAATTTCTAATTACAAATTTTAATTAAAAAAATTTTAATTAGCCGCATTTAATCGACAAAATAACAAAAATAACAGATGCATTTATATAAAGACGTTCTTTCTTATCGATTTAAATACAATTTACTATTCATATTAAACATCAATATTAAATTTAATCAATTCTATTTTGTTGGCTTAATGTCAATAGTGTCAAATCATCTACATTTATTTCTATTGCGAATTGCTGATAAAACTTTTGATTTATAACTGTAATTTGTTTTTAACTTTAGAGAATTAAATAATAGAAGTGATGCAACTAAATAAATTGTAATATATTAAAAATTTATGTATTTTTCTTGAAATAAAAATTCTAAATCTCATATTATAAAACTATTATGTATTATTATATTATCTATACTATATAAATATCTCATATTATATTATTTATTATGTATTTACAAAACTTCTTTTCTGAATGATTGTATTCAATTTATAATAATTGAATAATACGATTAAACAACATAATTAATATAAGCTGATTTTAATAATGTTATCACAATAATGCATGCAAACATGAATGCTATTTATAATATTTTTCTTTGATGAATGAAAGATAAATATTAGCTGAAAACGGATTTGTTGGTCAATGTTTAAAATGAGGTAAACAGACGAATTGCCAAAAAACATTAATTGTCCTAATACCGAAAGTTAATATTAGTAGCATATGATTAAAACTAAAAATCAGCTTAAATCTTTCATTTTTTCATCTCCACTTGGTAATGCAAACATTTATCAGCTTATAAAAAGTTGTTTAATATGATTTGTCGGATATATATGTAAATAAATAGAAGTGTTAATGCTGTAAAATAGAGTATAACCTCTACATATTTTCATTCAAACTGTACAGTTTTTTGATATTTCAATGTCGATTGCTACAAATATTATTCAATAAATAATATGTAGTATTTTAAATATGATATATTGATGGAATTAATTAAACAATAACGTAAATGGTTTTGTTGATTCGAGTGGTCAGCGATAAATTTTAAAAGAGTTTCTTTAATAAAGCTGGTATAATTTGCAAACTTGAATAAATGAATGCGAACTATATTAAAAAGAAATAATGTAGTTAATTGATACAACATGCTGCTAAACAAAATAAAAATGTTTTGAAAATTTTTCTTTTATTTTAGATATATTAGTAGTCACTAAATACGAATAATATAATGTTAATATTATTCTATAAAAAACATTTTTTTTTTACTTTCAAGAAGAATATTTAAGTAATGTACTATTTTAAAGAACTTTGTCTTATTTTCATTATAAAAATAGCCTTTTCGTAAATAATAGAAAAACATGATCAGCAATAAAATACCTACTAATCAATTTCATTTCTTGATCATTATTTTTAACTATGTATTATCTTCAAAAAGAGAAACTCGTTTCAGGTGAGTACTTAGCATTTGTATTAGACAGTTTATGTGCGAAATTAAGTAAAAAGGCTACATATATCAATTTAAAAAAGTACTTTTTATAGATATACATTTTGCAAGTTTAATAATATCACAATCAAATATTCTAAAATATATTTTTTATTCACTTTCTTTATTTTCTTTATATGAAAGCCTTTGTAAATGAAATGAAAATGAAAATAAGTGAATTTAGTGACAATTTTTGTTAAATAAAGGTTACAAATGTAAAACTGATGTATATTTCAGAATCTTGAAATGAATGCTTCAGGAAAAAGATATAGTGAAAAATAAAATTTATTTTATGTATTTTATACAGATTTTATGATTTTATTTATTACTCATTATACTATTTTTACAATTTACTTTTTTAAATTTTATTTCCAATATTTTTAAAGATAGTTTAAGGGCGGAATGGAGTTTGGTTTAAATATTTTGATATTTTAATGTAAAGATCAAGAATTGTATCATACTTTTATCGTAGGAAAATTTAAACCTATTAATTTTAATAATTATAAACATAGTTTGTTTTAGAAAAAATATATTTTATAAATATTCGGTTCTTATTTATTTTATTCACACTATTTATATTTACATTATTACATTGATTTTAAAAGCGAAATTAAAATTAGTTGTACTTCAGAATTTTATATCGAAATTTATGCCGAAGCTATTTTCATGGTATTAGCGAATCTTAATAAACGGGAAAAGCTTCTTTTTCTGATATCATAATTGAAATTATTAAAAATTATTAATTTAAATTATTATTAAAAACAAGATGTTGAACCAAATATATGATGTATAAAAATGAGAGAGTAGAAAAAAGAGATTGTAATCGAATATTTTCTCAAACAGGGATTATAACTGCTTACATCTAATTGGTGTTGTATACAAATTTTATATATCATTGAATAATGCCATATTGCTGGGCGGAGGTTAAAATGAGTGGAATAAATTTAGAGTAGAGTCTAAAATGAACTATTGACGAATTCGTCAATAAACTATTGATTCGTTGTTGTGAAGAAGGTACACACGTTCCGTAAAATTCCGTAAAAAAGAATACACATCGCTTTAGAACTTTTTTGCATGACTATGGCAGAAGATTCCGCATTCGAAAGGAATAAAATAATTTTTTTCCAAGATATCGGCGGTGCTTCCAAGGTATCAAACTGGACACAACGGAAGATTATGATTATCTTATGCAACTAACAGACTGAGACAACCATTAGAATTTGAATAAATAGCAGACTAGCCAATTGAATATCTTTTTTATATTAGTATCATTGTAATACTAAAATATTTATTAATGTATACTTAATAATAACTTACTTAGATTGTAGTAGTAAAAATATTTCTACATTTCAAAGAAAATTTAATTTTATTACATCTGTAGATCTAAACAATACATTTTTATTTTTTAATCAATAAAAGATTCAAAAATATAAAAATCTGATTTTTTTAAATTATAGATGATATTATTCTATCAGAAGTCAAAATTTTATAAAAATATATAAACTAATCACTTAAATTATTACATCGATCTATTAGTAAAATTAAATGTTAATAAATATTAACTGTCTTTGTTTTTCTATTTATTTATAACAGCGTATATATTTAAATGGATACACCGTTATCATTGTTATACTTAGTTTTAGAAATGAAATTAAATATTTAAAAACTTTAAATGCCTTTAAACTAATATCTTAATATAAGATTAATATAAGAATATATTAAATGCCTGTAATACGTAAGATGTATTTACTTTAAATTTATATTTAAATAAAACTTTAAATAAAGGTAGTTGTAAGGTAAATTTTATCTGAAATATTTTGTTTATGTTAGAAATCTACTTATTTACATTATTGCAATTAACGTACGCAAATAAATTAACATCCAATTGTTTGTGAACCTTCTGAGTTATTTTTGTAAATTAATTTACTAGAGATCTACAATATGTTACGAGATAAAAATAGATGAACATTATTTTTATAGATTAAAGAAATATTATATTTTTTCTTATTATATATGCGCGATAACTATATTTTTATATTTATCAAATTTAAATATATATATATATATATATATATATATATATATATAATTGGTTTTATAAAATTCAAGATATTTTACTGTAAATAACAAGTTTTATTGTAATATATTAGTTAAATCCTTAATTTCGCAAGTCATATTGGCAAATATAAAGACTTAGCATTTATTTATTGAAATACCAAAAAACTTTAAAATTTACGATCAATATTCAGATTCTAATATCTTATTAATATATTTGTAATTATTAAGTAATTAAAACTTATGTTTTGATTAAAATTATTTAAAAGAAATGACTATAGTTTTGTACGATAGTTTTATAAATTGAAGTATTCTATTAAAGATATTCTTGAGTTAAAAACATTTCATTCTTATTTGTTATTAAAAATATTAATTGCAAGATTTTATTTCTCTTTATATTTTTAAAATTGAAATAGTAGTAAAATAAAACTAAAATTGATAAGTACTAAATAATTATAAATAATATTTAATAGTATAATTTAATATTGTTGCAATTTAAATAACATTGATTTTTGTTTTATTTTTTAATATTTCACTACTTTCGTTATTATATTTTATTTTATTAAAATTTAATTATAACATATATATTATTGCTATGTAATAAAAATAAATGATCTTTTAAAATGTTTAATATAGTATTTTTTCTCAGATTTTATATTGTAAAAAGATATTTTCTGTCACTTATAAAATGCAGCATGCCTTACATTACAAAAGTCATTTTGTTAGCAGGCGTTGTTAATCATTTTTAAAATTATTTAATATATAGAATTAATTACTTTTAAATTTTTTAATTTCTTCATCATTTTACTTTGACAAAATGTATCAAATTTAGTTTTTATTTTTATTTTTACAAATTAATAAAATTTCTTAAATAATACTAGTTCATATACTTACTGATGATATACTAAAAAAATTCAACTTCAAAAATGTGTACGTCATTTATAAAAAGAATGACTAGATTTTGAAAATTATGCACGCTTATCTTAATAATTAATCACCATTAATCATTGCTTAAACAATCAGAAAATTAGTTTTTAAATTAAAAATTAATCCATTCAAAATGTATTGACGAACGCTATATTTTATTAATTAAATTATTTAGTCTGATTTTAATTAATTTTCGATTGATAAAATCGAAATTTTACATTTTATGAATCATTACTAACAAATATATCGTTTATATTAAAAAGATATTTAAGTACACTAGAGCCTTGAAAATTATAACGTCAATAAATTTATTTATACATTTATTGATATATAAGTCATAAATTTTACTTTATAATTAAATACCTTAAAAAATATATAACCAAATATGTGATATTTATATTATTTTGTTTATATTTTATTTTTTTTAATTTTGTTAAAAATGTCACAGTAACGTGTATGGGTTGCTACATATTTCTACACATGTTCTGCATCTATTACAAGGATATATGTGATTCGTAAACTGCATTTTAAATATAACTATTTGAATTTTGAACATTACCTTGTGAACTCGACTCGCTAACAACAGTTTGAGTAATTGACATGTCTTCCGTGTATCAATAAGCTTATGATAAAGGATAATTTATAGTTATAGTTTAATAAGTGCACAGTACATTATATTTCTGTATAACAATGTATTAAGTGTTTAATCATCATATTTGTGTAATTTAATATTTATATAAATTTTTTTAATTTGCATAATTTATTAAGCATGAATATTTACGTGTTCTCTTAGTTATAATACTTATTGTGCTCTTAAAGAAATAATTCATGTTAGGAAATTCAGAAATGCGAATTTTTAGTGTAAAATATATTATTATTTGTTCACAGAATAAGTAACATTAAGCGGAAGATATATAATATCATAAATGGAAATATTTTAATTTAACACAATAATCTTTTTCTTAATGAACTTGACTCTAACCTTAAATTACCGAAATTAAAATAGTATTTTTTATGCAACGTTAAAGTCACGTATGTACTTTACAAAAATTAATGTACTAATTTGTTTTTTGAATATATAGTCTAGCTATTTATCGATTTTATTTCTTTTACACATATTTATTTATTCTAATTATTTCACGTTCTTGTAATCCCTTTGTGTACTTCAATTTTTTGTTATCTTCTTTCTCCAATCTTCATAAGTTTTGGTTTTCATATAGTAATTCGTCATCCTTTAATTTCAATCTTTTAATTTAAATCTTTCTTATATTATTTATCAATCTTTTTTATGACTATGTTAAGGGTTTATTAGTATAGTAATAAAAAAGATATATAATATCTTAATGATTGTATCTGGAAATATAGGGGAAAAACAAAAAATCAATTTGTTAAAATAACAAACAAATGTAATAAAAATGCGTTTGTATTTAATACATAATTATTAATATTTTTTTTAATTTTTAAATTTAACGGTTAATAATTCTAAAATTATTAGTTTCCAATACAATATTTTATGTATTCGAATTAAATAATTAGGATATATCTTTTTTGTCATATACGTTTATGAATTTAATTACATAACACACATAATACAGAACATATATATATTTATATAAGAACGTAAAAAGGAAATTAAATTATAAAATGGATTTTTTACAAAAAATAAATACAAATTTTTACAATTTATTTGATATATATATATTTTTGTTTAAGTTAGTCTGATTCTGTTAAAAGATTAAAATAGTAAAGTAACTGAACAATATTTTGAAAAAAGATATTAAAAATTACAATACAAAAAATATACATGATAATAAACTTTTTGTATTCTACTTATAGAATTTTATTTTTGAGAAATGGAATTTAAAAATTCATTTTATGATTTGTTACTTCCTTAAATGCGTTTATTTTAAGAATGTTTTATATTAAATAATTAATATTATATTGTTTTTATAATACTAGTATAAAATCAACTTTTAGCTTAATTAATATTAAATGTACGATAAACTTAAAGCGTCAGTATTAAAATTATTTATAATTCAATATTATTCATGTACATAATATAAAATGATGTGTTATAGTATGTTACGTGATAAGTCATAAAAGGTAAACATCGGCTATCAATAATTAAGAATACTTAAATTACCTTATAAAAGATCGAAATCATTTTAAAATATAAATTTGTAGAACTCAGTCTTTTGAACTATTATCAATATACAAGTTATGATATTAATTACAATATTTATAATTTATTTATAATATTATTAGTCAATTTATTATTAATTTTTCATTTTTATATTTAATAATGCAACATGATATGATATAAACAAAGGCATTGGAGTATAAAGGAAAAGATTCTGCACTTACATTTCACAAGAGTACTATTAGAAGAGAAAGAAGAAATTTATTCTTATAAATTAATTTAATAAAAATAAATTTAAATGATTAATAATTATATGAGCTGCAATCAATTTCTACTTCTAGTGTTCATTTACTTCTATTATTTGACACTTCTGTATAAATTGATGAGTTATAGTTTCCACAATCATTGCCAGAATATTAATTAATAATAATTGTTTATTTGCCTTTTATTTAAGTATTATTTATCTAAAGGAAATTTTTGTGAATTAATTTAATATTAACGAATATTTTATACTTCTCAAAAGTTATAAAATAAAATGAAAAGCTTATAGTAATCGGCAAAAATAACACTTTAAAATTTTGATAATCGTTTTATTTTATATTTTTGTCTTAAAATATACAATTTAAAAAAATACGTTAGTTATTAACTTTATTAATATAGTTAGTTCCAAAAAATAGATATCAATATTTGTTGTAATAGCTCTATATTTAATGAATAATACATTTTTAATTAAAACTTTACCTTTAAAGATATTTTTCAATTTCTGTACAGTGACTTTTACTGTGGCGATGACCGATCCACAATTGACTAACAACAATCGCAATAGCAGCAGCAGCAGCATCAGCAGCAGCAGCAGCAGTAGTAGTAGTGGCAGCAGCGGCAGCAGCAGTAGCAGCAACAGCAACAACAGCAACAACAATAACAACAGTGGCATCAGCAATAACAGCATTATCAACCATAATATTATTAACAATAATAGCAACATTAACAATAATAATAATAACAATTCTAATAATCACAATAGTAAAAATAATTATGAAGAACCAAAATATCTACACAAAAAATTCAAGAAAATTGCGACTAGCGAAAATGTTGGTACAGTTGTTACCACATCTGCTTCACATGTTACTATGCTTAAAACAAAAGATAATTTGTCTGATCTTGATTCAACGAATACTAATGAAGTTGGTGAGTCTCGGAAATCTGGTTATATTTGTCCGTATTGCAAACTCTCCTGTGCTAAACCCAGCGTTTTACAAAAGCACATCAGGGCTCATACAAATGAAAGACCTTACCCATGTAGACGTTGCGGATTCGCCTTCAAAACTAAATCCAATCTCTATAAGCACTGTAGATCCAGAGCTCATGCTGTTAAGATGGAGGGTACTGATATTACTAAGGTAGTTACGATTTATTTTATCACAAACAAAATATTAAAGCTATAATTTACAGATAGACAAAAAATTTTTTTAATTACCTGTCAATAATAAAGCTCTCGTTCTTTGGTCTCTTTAGGTCCTGCAGACTGCCTTACAACTTTCAGAGGATTCAGACGTAAGTCTCTCAGATAGTGCAAGTAATGATACAAGCACACCACCACCTTTGCTACCGCCATTACCACCACCTCTTGTAATCCCTTCATCATTGACACACTCGCCTATAGTTTCTAATTTAAGCTTAAGCCAGAAGACTGTTAAGATTTACAAGCCCAAATTTCACATGGCCCTTCAACAATGTGCAGTCAACGAAATAAATAGTAATTCGAAAATAAATTTGATACAAGAGCATATAGAAAGTGCCATTGCCGACAATCGAACCATCACTGAAGCACTTAATCCACACTTGCACGAACTCCTTCATTGCCAGCAAAATTCCACTATACCCGAGGCACATCGTAAGCGCTGTCACGAATTGAATATGGAAAAACAATTTTATTCAGAAAATAAATCCGAAGTTGAATTTGAGCATAAACATAAACCTAAATCTGAATTAGATTCGGAATCAGAATCAGATTATTATGTAAATCAGCAATCTCTTCCATCTCCGGGACCTGTGCTTGGTCATACTCAGCTTGTTGATGTTCGAAAGCGACCTCGGTTAGAGGAATTTTCTCGATATTCTCGACCTAGTGCACTCCAAATGTTTGGTGGCGAGGTTCGTATTCTGGACCGTACTGGTGAGAGCAAGACTTTACGCATTGAACCATGTTCGAGTGGATCGCCAAATACAACTATGACTGGTCTGGGTCCGGTATCTGGATCCGAAACCGCTTCAATAGTTGTTCGTTCAAGTCTCCACTCAGGTGGTACTATGCTTCAAAAGCCAGTAATCGAAAAATTATCAGTACCACGAAATTCTGACCATCTTGGTCTGGTTACATTAGCACCTAATATCTCACCACCAAGTTTGGCGCCTAGTCTTGGTATTCTACAAACTTCGGAAAGTCATTCGTTCAGTTCTCGTCTTCCAGAATCGGATAAAGAAGCCACTCGAGTTACAGTATGTGCGCCACCTTTCGGAAACAAGTTTCTCCGGCCAAGTTCGCTACCCCTTAAACTCGGTAGTTTTACGCCTAAATGTTATAATGGTGTTACTCCGATAACTAATACATTAACACTTGTTAGTCCAGAAACGCCACGACCCAAGAAATCATATGGACAGTTATATCTAAATGGTCATGCCTATACCTATTTGGGTCTTAAGTGTTCAACGAGACTTTTTTATTGCACACTTAATAGACCACAACCTATGTACGTTACTCAACAGCATGGTCTCTCTATGTATTCTAATTGGAAAATTTGTAAAGAGGCACCGCCGGAATTAGAGCTCGCGCGTTACGATTCACGACATCGACCTGCTGGTTACACGCTCGCTAGTGGTCGACACGAAGATATCCTTACACATTCATCACAACGACCATGCGCTCCAAACAGTCCCGATAGCGGTCTTGAAAGTGATAGTCAGGAAAGGGCTCGACGTCTTCGACTTTTCGACAGTAGTTTTGAGATAAATGAAGATTACACCCATATAAATGGTAAAAGTGATGGAGAAAGACAACAGCGCAGCCGAATATTAATGGGTGTTTCGCCCACAATTATTGCAGGTCGTGGTCGTTATATCTGCGAAGAATGCGGAATCCATTGCAAAAAACCATCAATGTTAAAAAAACATATACGAACTCATACAAATTTACGACCCTATCGGTGCACTCTTTGTGCGTTCAGGTAAACTAAATATTTTTCGTATATTAAGCTATGTACTATTTTTTAATGTACTATTTTTTGCAGTTTTAAAACTAAGGGTAATCTCACCAAGCACATGAAGTCGAAAGCTCACAGAAAAAAGTGCATTGAATCGCGGATATTATATACTAAAGAGACCACTGGAGCACAGTATCAGAATAGTACTGATGATAGCTCTACGTCGGAAGAAGAATCTGAATTTGAAGCTGAAGCTGAAAGCGAGGAATCAGGCGGTGAAGAGCGTGAGGCAGCTCGAGGCTTGTTGAGTTTAGCGCGGCCAGTTGCACTGCAATTACCGGGTCTGCTCTCTACGGATAGACCGGCTACCTACCCATATGGTCGTGTCGCACTATCACATCGATCTGAAGAGCCAGCTGCACCTATAGATTTAACAACGCGTCAACCGGAGGAACCCGTAATGGAATTGGCAAGTTTGGCTTCAGTAGCTGAACGTGCAAGTTTGGTAGCAGAATTACCGGGGCGAGGTGCTGGTTCAAGTACATTACGACTACTTTCTGGCTTGGATGTTGTTCCGCGGAGGGTCGTCGTAGGTGGACCAGCCTTCCAAGTAACTACTTCTTCGGCTATTGGAGTTCCGAATTTTGCAAGGTAAACTACTATAATAGCTCTGAGTTAAAATACGTGCTAATATTCTTAATACTTTATTCTAATATATTATTTAATACATTATAATTAGTATATCAGAGGATGCTCGTAGTGTTTGTGGTATTTGCAGTAAAGTATTCAGCAAACCAAGTCAGTTAAGATTGCATATAAATATTCATTATTTTGAACGGCCATTCAGATGTGAAAGCTGTGGTACTTCCTTTCGCACCAAAGGCCATCTTACTAAACATGAACGATCGACACTTCATCACAATAAGGTAAACAATGAAAAACAAATAACTCAAAGAAACATTCAAATTTCGAGCGATTACTTAACTTTTTTCTTTGTTTTCATATATTTCTACAAATTATTATACTTATTCAAACTTTGAAATTTATCGTGAATTATGAATTTTTTATTATTATATTTTTATATTTTAATAGTACAATTGAGTTAGTAACTTATTATAATTATGATTTAAAAATAATAATTTATAAATAATAAATAATTGAAATATTCCGTGTTTTTATATTATATTTTTATAATTTATTATATGTTTATATTTATTTACTGCATAAATAATGTAATTTATATGTAGTTTATTATATAACTAAAATGCAGTTTATCAAATTACATTTTTTTATATTGAAATACAAAATAAATTAAAAATTTTTTTCAATGATTTACATTTTTTATATAAATGATTGTATCAAATGTTAATAACAGATTACAAAAATCGAAAAGTAGCAAACTTATTAAGTCGATAAAATAATTTATGTATATTTTATATTTGAAAATATTTATTCACATTTTTATAATGTATTTACTTTTGACCATTTATTTTAGGAAACCTTAAAACAATTAATCCAAATAAATATAACTTCATTTATATTAAAATAATTTTGATTTATTAGTTGTAAATATGAATTAAATATAATTAAACAATTAATATTAAATATAACCTAAAATAAAGCTGTATATTATGTAAGATTTAATTCTATTGTAAATTAAACTACAAGATTTTCATATTTTGTAATAAGTTTCATTTACACTTATGTTCACTACTTCTTTCCAAATATGACAGTCATCTGTTTTATACATAGATGACTGTATATTTAAATTCAAAAAATTTCATATTTAAATTCGAAAATTATTTAAATTCAATAATTTAATTTTTTTTAATAATTACATTATTCAATTATTATATATTCAAAGTACATTATATACATTATATACATTATATACATTATATACAGTACATTATATACATTATATACTATATCAATCAAAATTAATGAAAAAAAAAAGATATTTTATTACTTTCAATTTATTTGTTTTGATAGCAAATGTAATTTTCAAAAACAATAAAATTATATTTTAATACAGTTGGTAATATTTTAAAAACTTTTTATTATAAACGGTAATTATTGTACATTAATTATAATTAAAATATTAATATAAATATTAATATACAATAAATGTTGAAAAAATAAATAAATCATCAATAATATTATTTAAATGTGCTTAATAAAAAATATGAAATTTTATTAATAGTACGGTTATTTTAAATAATGAATATTTATCTATTAAAACTATTTTATAGTATTTCTTTATTAATATTTTATGAATTTACCTTTTGATTATTCTGTTTTATATTATATTACTTAATACTTATTACTTAATAGATACTTAATACTGATTTTCTTTTTTTTAAATGTATTTTGATTTTAATTTTAAAAACTTTGAAAAATGTTTTAATATTTAATGCAAATATATAAAAACATTTATATACGATTTTGTTAATTACACACAGAATTAAAAAACGGTAAAATTTAAAATCCTGGAAGTTCAAAGCATTATGTGCATTTATATAAAATTTTGATACTGAATACAAGCTAATTTATTTATAAAATATTAATTATAATATATTACAAATGCATTTCTTTTAAATTTGTTAAAAATATATATTATTTGTAATCACATTTTTAATTTATTTTATTAAAGTAAATTATTAAATTTTATTTTGACTTTTCTTTTCTTAGTTTTATTTTCATTTCTATGATAAATAAATATATATATATTTTTGTACCTAAAAAAATAAAACGGACAACAAATTAAATTTACTTTTCTTATGTTTTTTAGTATTACGTTTAAATAAGATATTAATTAGATAAGATTTAATGAGTTAATTTATCAAATCTCTGATGTATATTTGTTTTCTATAGGTAAGTATGACATCAACATTTGGAGCAGCGACGGCGAGTAATCCTCGCCCATTTAAGTGTACAGATTGCAAGTCAGCGTTTCGCATTCATGGACATTTAGCCAAACATCTTCGTAGCAAAATGCATATTATGAAACTTGAATGTCTACGCAAATTACCATTTGGCACATACGCTGAAATAGAAAGATCTAGCGTGAACTTAAATGACATTGATACAAATGACTGTGATACTAGTCTTACTAGTCTTCAAGTAAGTTTTCAGTAAATTTTAGTCAATTTTCATTCGAATAATAATTTATGTAAATTTTTTTTATTATATTCATTGTTTTGTAGATTATAGCCCAAAAACTTTTTGAGAAAGATCCTAGTAAATTGGAGCAGTGGGAGATAAGAATGCTTCCTGTGATCAGTGGTGGTGATAGCTCATCCGATGAGGACGAAACTAACCCGGTTCATTCAACGTCTCAACAATGTACAGAAACTCATTTATCTCAAAACTGTTACATGACAAAGTGCACTCAATCAAGCGATATAAATTTAGCAGAAATAAAGTTGGACGAGGCGAGAAAAAATTCTATTTACAAGTGCCACCTCTGTCCAACATCAGTGCAAAATTTGAGTGAGCTACATGTACATTGTTTTGTTGAGCATAATATCGAATCAAATAATAGCTCCATAATTGATTCTTTAACAAATATTAAAGATAAAATTAAAGAAAATGAGAATACTCACGATTTTAAAGGAATTGAAATATGTACAGTTAGGAAAGTTGAAGCAGAACATAGAGTCGATGCTACTTAGTGCCAAGCAATCTTTTAGTGTCTGTGTTGATATACTATTTTTTAGTAAATTATAAAAAGATCGACTAAATTTTTTTAGTTTTATGCGCATTTAAATCGTTTAAAATTTTATCGCATATCTATTTTTTTATTTTTATGGCATATTGCATAAATATATACTTACTTCTATAAAGTACATAAATCATTTAAAAATGAAATCAAATTAATTAATTTAGAACTTTTATAAAACTTTTATCATTTATTTGTATAATTTTTTTAAATACTGTTATGGTGGCAGCAAAGATAATTTAATACTGATGCCCTGTATGTGGTTGCATATTTTATGAAAATATTAAAGCATACCTCAAAGAGTATTATATTATTCATTCATATTATATCTTAAAAAAATATCATCAGATCGTTATATATGTATATAATGCTGATGGTGAGATATAATTAACAATATTGTAAGCATTCAAAAAAACAAATTTGTATATATTTAGTACTAAGTATGTTACAGTTTATTTTTAAGAAATTAATTGGCATTGTTTATAAAATATAAAAATTTCAGTTTTACATGAGTAAACGTAAATAATAAAAAATAAATTTATTTTATATTCGAAAACTCTTATAAAATAAATATGATTTGGAGCATAAAATAATTAAACATTTAGTTAAATGTAAAAAATGAATACAACTTTATAAATTTTGAAAAATTCAGAAAATATTTCTATTTAATATGTACATCATAATATACTTTAATTTTTGTATAATTTTATTGAAATTCAGAAATAATACATTTTTAAGAGTAAATATTTTTAAAAATAAATATAATTTTTTTATGAACTACTATTGTAGTAAATTTTTATAAAATTTAATAGATTAGTGATATCATTTTAAAATATCTTTACATTAAATATGTAATTTATTTTAGCTATATACATGATTGATATATATTCAGTAGAGTTAAATTCACATTTACTTCACAAGTTAAGCTTGACAGGATTAATGTTTTCAGTACCTGTGTAATATCCAGAAACGTGATAATGGCTAGTCCTTATAAATTTTTATATTAACAATGTATTAATAGAAATTTTATTTAATTTGTAGGCTGTCACAATTTTATTATATTTAAGAAAATTGTAATTGAATCTAGAGCATAATTTCCTCCTATATAAATTTATATGAAATTTGTGTTTGTGTGTCTGTTGTGATTTTTCTTGTTTTTATATTATACTTTTCATATACTTTAATCAATAAGTTTGAACTATTATTAATTATTATAAATTATAAATTAGAATCATCATTAAAATGCTATTGTATCAAAATTAAATTTTTTTTTTGGATTTCTACCAGGACTGACAAATTAAGATTTCAATATTTTAATTTTGATCATATTAAAATATTGTTAACTATTTTTACATTTATTACATATCAATAGGTATTTTTATAAAGTGAAATACTTGATTGTAATTTAAAAATTGAACAAAATACATCAAGTAATTCAAAATTATACATGAATATGACATATTAAAAAATATTTTACGCCAATAACAGAGTATTATATGTATAACAAAAAGTAAAAAATTTATTGTTTCTGAAAATAAATAAAATAATTTAAAAATGATATTATTAGAAGATTCCTCAAATGATGTTTTAAAAACATTTATTTTAACTATTAGAGATAACGTAAAAACAGTTCTTATGTTTCTGAACATAATAGTTTATTCATTCATTGCATTTAATTTTAAATACTCCCTAATAATATAGACAAAATAGTAATTTAAGTAAATTATTATTTTGATATATTACTTCAAACAGTAATATCATATGGATAATGCAGATGTTAAAATCAATATTTTACAAATTAATTGTAGAATATCGTTTTTTTATAATCATAAATTTGGATAAATCTTACTCAAATTATACCTTTTCTTTTTAAAGTGTATATATACATTAATTTAATGAAGTGTATCTATGTCTTTACATATTTAAATCATTATTAACAATATTAACGTTACATTTACAGAAAATATTTATAAAATGAATATTATTGCCAAACATTATATATGTAATATAAAATAATGTATATTTATATGTGATTATTTTAAATTTTATAGAATCTATAATTAGTCTTTCTATGCTGAAGCTCTTATTATATACATGCATATATTTCTAGTAGGCCGAGTTAACAATGGATTAAAATTTATCATACATACACAATTATTTTGTATACATATTTTATAAATTTATATTTTATAGGGCTAGAATTCATATTTATATTAAAATTTATAAAATATCTACATATCGAAAATTAATAATTTTACTTTTGGTTCTAAATAAAAAAAATTCATGTTTTCTAACTGGTTCTATTTATTATTTAAATTTAAAAAATTTTATATTGGCTTGGCTACTTTCAGATTCAGTATTAATATCACTAAAATTATTTTTTTTAAAATTTCTGAAATAAAGTTCACATTGATACGTTTACATATTCCTATAAAATTTTTAAAATATCTATTTTGTATTGAACTAAGTACATTTATTACACTTATGTAAATTACTTGTTTATTAAAATTATATGACTAATACAAATTGTTGGTATATTTTATAATTGTATAAATGTATTAGAAACCATAGTTTTATGATTGTATATAAATACTAAATAAAAAATAATTTTAATTAGGATTAAATATATCTTTAAGTTACATTTAACATAGTATAAATTATACTTATTACATTATTTTTTAATAGAACTAGAATGGCTTTTGCTGATGGATATCAATTAATGGGACCTAATATAAAATTTAGATATATACATTAACACGCACACACACACATACATATATATAAAAATAGGTATATGAAAATAATCGTGTTAACTTTTCCAATATTCTGCCAAGATTATGTAAACATTTTTTTACAATTAATAATTAAGACCTGTTATATTATAAAAGAAATGTAATTTATATATTGTAAATATAAAATTATTGCTTAATTGTGTTGTTTATATTTTGTAATGTTAAAAAATACAATTTATACAATAAATATTAATAAATAATGGACATTAATATTATAATGAAATAAATTTCTGTACATCTTGTAAACATGTGTAGATTATATTTATAAGTTGAAATTTATAATCCAAATAATATACATAATACTAAATAAAAATAACTTATATATAATATTTAATATATATTATGATAATGAGGTTAAATAATATAATGAACTCATGTTTTAATGATAAATTTGATTTATTTAAAAATTATATTACATTACTTATAAGATTAATTTCAATCAAATTTAAGTTTTCATACAAGGGTATTACAATTAATGTCTGTGTTCGTGGTTGTTTTATTCAACGAGCATCAAATACAACAACTATAATAAATGTTAAGGAAGTAGAAATTATAATTTAATTTTATATAGATTTATATACATTTTATACAAAACTGAAATAGTTAGAACATTAATATTAGTATAACAAAACTTATAATATTAAATTATTTTATTATATTGTTATAAAAATAGTTTAATGTATTTTAACTAGTACTTTTTAAAACAAAATCTATTTATTTATTCAAATTCTTTGTTTTAATCTGATGGTATTTTATTTAATATTGAAAAATTTTTTGTTAACAAATCTACTTATTAAATATATCAGAAAGAAATTTTTCTTTATTAATTAATATAATATAAATTGTATAATAATTCAAAAATAAAATAAAATCTGTAAATTTATAAAAGATTTGACATATTTTTAATTTTAATATAGAAACAAGTATATGAAATTTTTAAATTAAAAGGATACGACGCTTAGTACGCTTCTTGTACATGATTCTGTAACCACATTCCCTGCACCGTATGGGATCTCTTGGACGAATTTCATTGTCGTGATGACATTCTATACATACAATTAATTTATGTAAATAAAATTAACATAAGATATTAAATAATTAAATTGATTATTTATATTTCATTTTTTGGATACCAAGTAATAAAAAAGTTATGTGAAATACATAAGTTTTAAATTTTTACAGACCTCCACAAATATATACCATAGCTTGTTTCGGTATATTATCAGTTTTAATTGAATCCATATTCTGTGGTAAATTTGTGTTACGTTTTCAAGAGTAAATATCACATGAAACAATATTTCATAACCTTATTTATTTTACACGATTGTAACTATCGAATAAACAGAAATTTAAATATGAATGATTACAAATTAAAATATTTTTCAGACTATACGATTAGTAAAATGTATACAGCTTAAAATAACAGTTAAATATAAATTCTAATATTTTTAATTCCTTAAAAACCACTGAATTTTTAAAAATATTTAAAACAAAATGATATTTTTAATTTACTGGATTATCAAAGTATTATTCCATAGAAAAAAATTAATTTGAAAACTTTAATATAAGGACGACATAATAAAATTAACTTAAAAGAAAATCGGAAAAACAGTGGAAATACGAAATATAAGGACTCCACTCATTTTAGGTAAGTGTAGTAGAGAACTAAGCTTATTGGCTCATTTGAATAGAATCTATTGTATTGCAGTGCTATGAACTGCAGCTATTTTATCCAGTACCAATAACAGACACGGGTAGAAATTATAAAAAATTATAAATCATGAATATTTAAAATTATAAATTTGTTTTAACTTATGAATAATAACTTAATATAATTAATTTATTATTTGAATTTATATATTTTATATCAGTATCTCAAAAATATTTTTTTTTATATTTCTTAAATTAAAATCATATATGAATGTTTATTAGTTTCATGAATTTGGTTTTATATTTCTTATTTGCAATTCAAAAATTGTAATTATGGTCTTTAATAATGTGATATAATTAACGGAAAACAATTTTTTTAAAGAAATAAAGTTGAACTAATTACATTTACTTTGTTATATATAGTGAGTAAATAATAATATTTACGCATATATATATATATTACGCACATAAATATTTATTTTATTATGCATGTAAGTAACACCGACGCTAGCTCTTACCTTTGCCTGTACACCGCAAGTTACGCTCGCATCGAGCACACGAACGTGCACCAATATCACCACTACCTTGGAGCTCACGGACACAAGCTGTGACGTCACACGGACGTTCTCCCACCACTTCTTACACTACAGCTCACCCCTTCGCCGGTTGCCAAGACGGCACCCTTACCACCTATTTCCCCTACCACCACGAGTTCCCCACTACAACTACTCAACCACAAGGAAGAAGGGGAATCACGCTCCAGGCTATCAAGAACACACTTACAAACTTATCGCCACCACCATTACTGAAGAAACACCAATATATTCATTATATCATACACTCATTCCAATATTCATAGATTTTTAACGATTCATTATTTATTATGTTTAATAAAATGAAAGACTATAAACATAAAGGGCAGTATTGAATAATTGCATTGACCCTTCCACTTGCCAGCAAGCCTCCACCCACCATCATAAGGAGGTTTTTAGTTTGATCCCAGACAAGATGAGTATTTGAATAATTTTGCTCTAGTCCGCCAAATTTTTCTGTACTTGGCATAGAATGCTAACTTATGAGATAAGTATGTATTATTGTTCGATTATGAAGGATTTGTTTTATGGCTCGAACTGCCAATTCAATAGTTCAGTGGATTAGTCTCTCGTCATGATAACTTAAGAGGAAATAATAAGTGGAAGGGCTGAAAAATATTATGTATTATGTATTTGAAGTAAAAACAATGTTTATTATTTGTTAAATATTATAATAATATTGTACTGTTGTTGAGAGAGAAAATTATTCTATTGTAGTAGTGAGTGTGTTTCCTTGTGCTTTTGAATGTTGTAAATGCTATTAGAATTATTGTGTATCTTGAGAATTGAGGTTATGCTGATATTGTAAATATTAGCCTGTGTAGTCGATCATGCTCATCAAAGAGCATGATAAGATGGTGTTTGAAGTCAAGTATGCTTGGTAGAAAGAATGATCATACTTGATAGAGTGTAAAAAGTCTTGATGGAAATTGGTGCGTAATCAATTATGTTTTTAATTATGATGGGAGCAATTGAAAACTAGTCACATGCAAGTATCATAAATGACAAGCATTCGAACTTTGAAGGACTTGATGAAAATGTATTTACAGTCGATTATTCTATAAATTATTGTCTAGCCTTGACAATGTAATATACGCATTGCGTCACTTGTGTCGACTGTTTGAAGGGCTGTACGGTGTTCGAAGTGTTAGTTCGAGAGAGCGTACTCATTCTCAGTCGATTCTTAAAGGCAGTTTTCTGAAGCGTGATTTTGCGCGTGTGCGACTAGCTTATTTAATAATATAAGGAGATGTACCTTCTAAACTGCCGACAAGATATGTAGATTTACTGCGTGGCTGGTGTGTCCCCATTGTTTACTATTCCAATTGGCTTCACTGTAAAATCACTACCTAGTCTTGCTGGTATCTTTTTAATAATGCACGTGTATTTTTAAGTTGGTTGCCCAACATGCGGCCACATGTCGTCGTCACAGTATATACTAAAACACTGAGTATAATAACAGTTAAGTGAACGCGAGTTAGAATTACAATGAGCTTATAAGCCTTTTGAATACGTGCACGAACCGAAGGTTTGATTGTTCCATGGCGGTCCTGCTGAGGGCAGACCGAGACCCGTGCCATGGCTTCTACTCGTAGAGGGTTAGATCTGTTCGCTGTGGTCGATTCACTGCGGTCGGTTCTCTACGGTCGGGTCACGGCAAGATGTTAGCAGCAAGCGCAGTTCAGTAAGGGTGGTTCAGCACGACATGTTTAGCAAGAGGTGTTTAGTAAGAGAGCTAGGCACGCTGCGTGCTTGCCTTATATATACACGTAGCGGCTCACTTAGCTGGCAACAAAGCATCGTCGTTGCTGCACTGGAATATTACATGACGTGCAGAAAGAAAAATCTAGATGTTTTGAAAATTCGACGAAAGAAAAATAAGGCGTAATAACGATAGAGACTTCCGGGTGATGTTATTACCCGAAGACCATATAAACATTACGGGCCATTTGAAACCAAAACATAACAAGTATACGAAAAATTCTCGTCTAAGTGCTTACAGAAATCTGAGATCTAAAAGGCCGGCGATGCCGCAATAGCCGGTCTTGAAACTGGCTTCAATCTCGAATAATAATCCTTTACTAAAACAATAATATCACTTTCAGTACGATCATTTAAATTTTCTTTCCAATTATAAGCAATGGATGTTTTAAAGTCCTGTTTTGTATGTTCATTTAGATTCAGGATATACCTTTTTTATAGCTTTCAAATCTAACGCTGTTCATTCCATAATGGTTGTAGCTCTTAATTTGTAATTTCCTTCTATAAGATATTGACCATAACTCTCGCCTCCTTTGCTGACGGTCTGAAGCATATCAAGGCTGTACAAGACGGTAGTTTTCTAAATTGATGCCTTCTCTAGAGTAAGAGGTTTGATTCTGCGTGTGGTATGAATGATTTCTGTGATTAGTTGGTAAGTGCTTTTTGGGCTAAAAACTTGATGTATATAAGCGTGAACCGTAACTGAATCCCGTGAGTGAATTGATTGAAGTGTGAATGTAATAATCTCTAGTATTTGTATCGGCGATGTGTCTTGCCTATTCCATAGATTATGACAGTGGATAGATCCATAGATATGACAGTGACCTTAGTCGGTGGCCAGAAGGGTCGTTGTTTGTCTTCGATCGAGTGAGTTTACAGTTTTCCGGTCTAGTCATCTGGTGTGTAATGATGAGCTAGTCTTCGAATGTAAGGCTTCTTTCTTCGTATAATAGAGTATGATGTCCTTTATTGCAGTTATAGCAGTTTTCCTTGCCGAGGCATGGGCTCGGTAAGTGTTTACATAGACAGTTTGTATTTAACTGTAGTTTTTTCGCAATAGCTTTTCGTTCGTTAATAGCGAGTTTTTCAAATTGATCGCATGTCCATAATTTGTGATTTTCATTGTAATAAGCACATATGAGGTGACTTTGATTGAACTTCAAATACCTTCCACTTTTCTCGTTCTCAGTTGATGATTTACATGTTCTTACGAATTTCTTGTTATATGTGTGTGGTTGCGGGTAAGTTTCTTGTTCTTTCATCTCAGTCGCGTTGTCTAGTGCAATCACTTGAGCCAGTAGAAAGATTTTTAATTGTGCAAATTTTGGGTATGCAGTTGTGTCCCCTAGTGATCTTTCCCATTCTGTTCTTGTTTCATCATTGATGTACATTAATGCTATGTGCACTGTTATGGAATCCCATGCATGAGATATTATATTGCAATAGTGCCTCCAATGGGTCATTCACTCTGCTTACTAATTTTTCTAATTCTGTGGCTGACTTTACAAGCTTAGGTGAGACAGTGATGAATTATCTTATGAGTGACTTTAGTGCTAAGCGGGGTGAATTGTATTTTTCCAGCAATTTTTTCCATACTCTAGCTAATGAGGTGTTCGGCAAAGATATGCCTGATATGATTCTTGCTGCAGATTCTTCTAGGGAGTTTCGAAAGTAATGTAGTTTTTGTACGTCACTTAACTTCTTGCTTTGTAATTATTGATTGAAATAGGTCCCTGAATATGGATCAAGCTAGATAGTCTCCTGAGAACTTAGGGATAGGGATAAGAAGTCATTTCTCGTGGCTCTCCTGTATGTGCCTTCTCCTCGGGCTTAGTAGTATTGCTTGTTTGTGTCGATTCGGCCTGGTAATCTCACAGCTTCATGATAACCGCCAATTCATTAGGATAACAGATGGTTTCTTCTAAAACAACATTTTTTGTAAAATATTCATTAGTAATACCCGATGATGGCCATTTGGTTTCTATACAGCTATGTTCCATCGTGAACTTCTTGTGTACATCATCAATGAAATTTCTTATTGTTAGTATTTCATATAGACTGATGTCTGTGCGCTCTGCACTGGGACTGTTAATTAATGTTCTTATTGTGGCAATGCATGTCCATTGTGTTTGGGCCTTTAATGTGACTCACTTGATATATTTTTCTTGGTTGCGCTACGATTAATGCGTTCGTGGACTGTGGATGTATTTGAACTCAACGGTTCCTTAGTGTCTTTTCTCTCTTGTTTCGACATCTTGTTATAATAGAGAGTGCAACAGTAATGTAATTACAGTATCGAAAAAACCTTGTTTGACTTGACTTAGGTATCTGCTTGTAATTGATACTATGGCTGAATTTTTTTCTGATTTACTAGTATTGAACGAATGTACTGACTTTCACGTATCCGGTTCGAAGGACCAAATTTGTCT